AGAAAAAAACAATTTCAAAAAACTGATTTTCTTGGTCCCAATCTATTTTTTTAAAAGCCCAAACTGCCATTTAACGGCCCAGGGCGAATTTACGGCATAATCCGGTATATTGTTTCATTGCATATACATACTAGAACATGAACTGCCACAGAATATACTTTCTTAGTAAATAAAATAGAAAACAAATATCATATAAATCGATGTAATTTGTAAAAAAAGTAATTAGATTGCTCTGTATTTACCTTTGTTGTGTTTATCACCTCATAAGCATAATTAATGTCTTCAATGTTCTACAATAAAATATAATGTACAACTACAATATCTAATTACCATCATGATTCATTCAGGCTAATTGTCAATTAAAAAAAAAATGTAAAAAACTAATTTGCATTCAATTTATCAATAATGTTTTCACTTTGTGACTGCATGCGATTGTTAAGTGTTAATATGGTCTCTTACCTCGGCTGCCTCTATTTTAGGTTTTTCATATTCATGCACTGCATCTTTAGTCATTGTAGAAAGTGCTGCATAATAATCACGCAAGTCCGACTTTAAAACAAAATACAGAATACCTACATATAACACTTAAACAATACAACTACTTTAAATAAATACACGATACATGTTTCTACCGTTTATACGTAAATGATGTTGCCGATAACACTTTCAAAACAAGTTTATTTTACAGGATTTTGTTACTATTTACTAATACTGTGATCTAATTGTAATGTGGATGAGTTAATGTATTCAAATAAATTGCCAATATCCACGCTATGCACCACACAGAAAAACATAGAAAACATGGTAATTTCCTCGTCATTATTTAACATAGAGCATACCTGTTTTGAAAAACTTCGCTTAAGACGCTTATGTAAAACAAATGCGACGATATTCCCAGTCACTGAGCAACACAGAAGAACTGTAAGTAATGCCGCCACACCGACACATATGATACACGAATTTTGGTCAGTTTCTGGAATAATATGCAATAAAATAATTCAAATACATTGTATCATTGAGGTAAACACTATTTTCACACTAAAATTATGTGAAATACAATTTCAGTTCTAACTTGACATGTATCATCACTCAGACTCAAGTAGTTATTTTGATTGGTGAACCACTTAGTAAATCCATAAAACATTGAAGGCCATGTTAAAAAATCTTGAATTACATGTATCTACATTTGTATTGTGTATATAAATGGAATATGCATAGTGCTACATAAATAAACAACTTATATGGGACTGTCAATGACTTTATTTTACATTTACTGTCCTATTAAAGGCCCACGAGTCTATTTTGAAAATTTTGCATTACTAATATCAGACGCATGCTCTTGTGTGTACAAGGTCAAGAAGGGTCCGTCCCACATTTTAATGACAATTTGAACGTTCAGGACCCCTGGCTTTTACCATGATAAATACGGTGTAATGTGTTGCTGGTTTTTAGAATAATATTGATTTATCACCATTCTCAGGATTTACTGCTACACAATTATAAAATCAAAGATAGCTTAGAAGGGTTAAGAATTAAATGTTGGAAATAAACTGGTCTGTCATTTATCCAGAATACGTTACAGAATACAAATATGGGCAACATTTAGTAACATGTTCATGAAATTACACTATAAGAGCCACATTATACAAATTAACTAATCTGCAAATTATTCTCAATACTAACATGGCATACACATTACATCAATGCACACGACTACTAAATTTGATCCTAAACTGTAGAGTTGTTCATGAGATAATCCCGAATTAGTAATCAAAGAAAGCTTAGAAAGAACTCCCGTGTGCTGAGAGTATTTGAGACATATTAAGCATTATTTCAAAATTTAG